AGCTGGAGAAGAGTATTGAATAGACCATTGACTGCTACGAGAACAAACAAGTTTGTCCTGGAGAGGGTGAAGCCAGGCTGCTCCTTGGAGGCAAGGATTCTGAAGCTTAATCTGACATACTTTGGACATGTTACAAGGTGGTATCAGTTCTTGGAGAGGGACGTCATGCTTGGGAGGGTGGAAGGACAGCGCAGGAGAGAAAGACCCTCAATAAGATGGATTGATTCAATTACTGTGGTAATGAAAGTAGGTGTTTAGGAGACAATAAGATTGGCAAGGGTTTGAGCAGGGTTAAGGGCTGTTGTACATACGGTCACTGTGAGTCACAGGCGAATCAGCAACATCTAACAACAACAATACGCTGTTTGGGTGGCCTAGTGGTAAGAAGCTGCACTGTAATCTCAGAGGCACACAGTTTGAATCCAGCAGCTTCTCTGCTGGAGAAATATGGGCAGTCTCTCTGATTTACTGTCTGAAAACACTGAAGGGTCAGCTCTGTTCAATCTATTCAACTGAACCAACACAACAGTATTCAGCTCAGCCTTTCCTCTCACTTTAGGTTATGTGTTTCCACACTGATAAAAGAAGTAATTCACTACTTGTGCCTTTGAGGCAGAACAGACTCATAGCTAACCCTCCATCAGGTTTCTCAGGCTCTAAATTGCATGGGAGCTGCTGATGGATTCCAACCCCAAGAGAAAAGTGGCCTTGTTAGCAGTGCAACTCTTTGCTTGCTAAGCCGCCAGATCTCTCCACAGAGTGAAGAGGTAGTACAATGAGTTTACATAAAAGATATATAATAAATTCATTTTGATTGTTGTTAAGTGCTGTTGAGTCAAGTATGACTCACAATCTTCCTATAAACAACAGATCTGAATCTTGCTATATCCTGAGCCATTTTCACCATTTCTGATATGCTTGAGCTCATTGTTAACAGTTACTGTGTTGATCCATATTGAGGGTCTTCTCTCCTCCGCTGACCCTCCAAGCATGATACCTTTTCCCAAGGATTGGCCCCTCCTAACCATATGTCAGTACAGGAGGTGAGATGAAACTTCACCATCTTTGCCTCTAAGGAGCCCTCTGATTGCACTTTTACTGCTTGTTCTTTTGGCAGTCCAAAGGATATTCAGTATTCTTCTTAAACACCACAACTCAAAAAATAAGCAATTATTATTAATTTATCATTATTGTTGTTGTTATTATTATTAGGCATTTCCTTTAATGATCCTAAAAGGAAAAAAGTGGCATTTAATAACTTTACAGAGGAGACATAGACCTATTCCTAGGATTTTATTAGATTTTAAAAATACTGATTTAGCACAATATGTATGCTTAATTATACTTTTGACAAAACTCTACTGTCCTACAGTACACAGTTCTTTGAACTCAGATCTGTTAAGTAGAAAAAGGTATTATAGAACGATATTTGTAGTATGATCTCATTTTGTTTTTAATAGAGGTTAGCTATTTGGAAGATGTTGCAGGAAACATTTAAACACATTGGTTATAATGTGGATTCTCTGAGAATATATTCTTGGATTACATCTGTGTACTTCAAAATTACTTGGAAAAGCTGTGACTTTTTTAAAAATACAATGTGTAGTGTAATAGTTATGACTTACAATGCTGTGTCCTGAGCACTTTTCACACATTTTTGTTTAAATCACTTAATCCTGATGACAACCCTTTAAGGCAATAAATGTTAATGCCTTTAGTTCTGATAGCTGCTTTTAAATGTACATTTCTGGTTTTTTTTTAAAACAACAATATTTTAGCTTTTGTTTTTCATTTTATAGTACCATTTATATCACAAATTATAATGAAAGTGGTAGAAGGAGGGAAGTTGGACGGAAGTTACACTAAATGTTGGGTTTTTTGGTTTGTTTTTCCAGAAATTGGAGACATTGCTGGTGTTGCTGATGTTACAATCAGACAGTCCTATAGACTTATCTATCCTCGAGCCCCAGATCTGTTTCCTGCAGACTTCAAATTTGACACCCCTGTGGACAAACTACCACAGCTATAAATTCACAGAACTGGTGTGAGACTCTGTAAACACTGAACTT